ATGTCCTTGAGTGTGTGCACAGAGGCTGGGATGTCCTTGAGTGTGTGTACAGAGGCTGGGATGTCCTTGAGTGTGTCCACAGAGGCTGGGATATACACAGAGAAGGAGTGAATAAGCAAACTGAGGAAGGACCTCATGGAGAGCACACAGCAGTTTCTTCTTCTACATTTCAACACCATAAATCACTACCCTTCCATACTAAAGACGGAAGAACTCCTCTTCCTCATCATTTGTTTTGCTTGCTTCAACCTCTTGATCAGTTAGAACACTGGTCTCCATGGACTCCATGGCCCCACACAGGTTAATAAATGCTATGCATACACAATTTTGCCAGTCAGCATTCTCAATAGTTATAAATTATCACTCTGTGCCTTTTTTTTTTTTATATCTGTCACAAAGCATCACTAAACTCTTAGGTGACTGGATTTTATGTGTTTATGTTATTAGGTACAGAAGCTCAGAAAGGCCAGCAGACTCAACAATGACAGCGGCCAGAAAAAAAATTCATTCTGTTTAATTCCAGAACCTTCGAGCTTAGTTCTTCTAATACATTGAAAAATAAATAAATTCAAACCTCTCGTAGCCTCTTCCTGGATCAGGTGACATGCTTGAGTGTCACCTTGAGGCGCACTGTTTCAGGGTAGCTTTGATGTTGGCAGATGCCAAGATTCAGTGAGAAAACTTAGCTTGCAACTGTGTGGGCTGCATGGCTTATGGTGTGGATGGGTTTGCCAGAGGCATGCTGGATACCTGCATTCTAATAAGCACCCCACCATGCACACCAGGCCACTACAGTGTGGCTGGTTCTAGGACCTCTCTGACAAATAGTGGAGAGAGTCTAAGGTTCTGGGCACTTGGCTTTGGCAATGAGGCATCTCTGTTCATGTCAGGCATTCAAGTTGGTTTCCACTTTCTTCCCTTACCACTTTACGAGGCTGTGAGCTTCTATAAAGGGATTGCTACAAGGGAAAGTGAATTCAAGCTAGAACTTCATGATCATAACTACGTCAGCGTCGCAGTGAGCTCCTTTGATAACAGTTTCAGAGACAGAAATGTATTCAGTCCCCCATTCTGTCCTACTGAGATTCTCTGTTAAGGCAAATGTGCCCATGTAAGGTATGAAAACTTTTTAGGGAAGAAGATCGAAGCTAAGATGACAGCCCCCTCCGAGGTATATTGTCTACCTACATAATTTGTTCTTAAGTTCTCAAGATAGTTCTTGGGAGATAAGGATACAATCAATTATTGCTTAAGTTTGGAACAGAAATGGCCAGTGCCTCAGATGATAAAGAATTAGTTCCAGTCCATAGGTCTCCTTGGAGGCAGAGGAACCTTTAGGAGGTGACACCTACAGGAAGGAGGGTAGGTTATGGGGGTGTACCCTTGAAGGAGTTATTGGGACTCTAGCTTATTCTTGTATCTTTTCTATCCTGGCTGTCATTAAGTGAGCAAGCTCGACCTGTCTGCACTCTTACCCAGACACATGGTGTGGCTACTACAAGGCACACAGTATTGCTACCAGCCACAGGCAAGATGGCAGACTGATAGTGAACAGAAATTCATAGTTTCCCCTCTTCCTTCTCTTTCTTCTTCACTGTATTTTCCTTCCTTCATCTTTCTCTTCCTTCCTTCCTTCCTTCCTTCCTTCCTTCCTTCGTTAGTTTAAAAAAAAAAAAAAAAGACAGGGTCTTACAAAGCCCAGGATGGCCTGTGTAGCCAATAAATCAGCTGAGAGTGACCTTGAACTCCTGAAGCTTCTGCCATCTACCAAGTGCTGGGTTTCTAGGCATGTGCCGCCATGCTTGACTACACCTTTCTTCCTTTTAAGTTAATTTTCTTTGGTATTTGTCCTAGTACTGAAAAGCTTATTAATTAGAAAATGACTCTGGCCTGCAATCTATCTGGTACCAAGACACGTAAGATGAGCAGTCTCTCCTAAGATGGAAAAACAGACCATTGCTTGTCCCAGGAAATGGGAAGAGACGGAGGAAGCATGTAACTTGAAAGTCATTTGGAGTTAGAAAGTGATGGTCAAGCCTGAGAGCTTATACTCAATGGTAGACCACTATTGTCTACTGGTCATTAAGTGACACAGATGGCTTTGTTGAGAAACTGGCCCAGCAGCGCTAGGGCTTGGATGGCCTTCCTACCACAACCACCACAGAGAGAGAAAAAGCTGAAGAGCTGACCACTGGATCAAGGCCCCACTTGCCTTCTGTGAGGCAGTGCGCAGCTCAGCTAGGCTGGTTGCCAGGTTCTTGGCACACTGACTCAACTGCATAGCTGCAGCCTGGTCACTCACAGTGGGCACCGCAGCCTTAGCAGAGGACACCATCTTGCTTCCAGGCTGTGGAGAGATGAACAGAAAGTAAGCTACCTCCTGGGCAACAAGCTGTTGAGAGATAAAACATCATGGCTTCTACAGTCACAAGAACACATTTCCCCCTAAAACAGGGTGTGGTTTGAACGAGAACCGTCTCCTACAGGTTCTTGAGCTTGGACACTTGAGAAGGTTTATGGAACCTTTCCAAGGTGGAGCCTTGCTGGAGGAAGTGTCACTAGGTGTCTTAGGGTTATCATTGCTGTAATGAAACACCACAACCAAAGCAACTGGGGGCAGAGGGGTTTTTTGGCTTATGTTTCCATATCACCATTCATCACCGAAGGAAGTCAGGGCAGGAACTCAAACAGGGAGGGACCCTGGAGGTAGGAGCTGATGCTGAGGCCCTGGAGGGGTGCTGACTGGCTTGCTCTCTGCTTAGCCTGCTTTCTTAAAGAACCCAGGACCACTAGCCTAGTTGATGGCACCACCCACAATGTGATGGGCCCTCCTCATCAATCCCTAATTAAGAAAATGCTCTACAGGCTTGTCTGCTTCTAGACTACCTGGAGATATTTTCTCAGTTGAGGTTCCTTTGCTCAGATGACTATAGCTTTATGTCAAGTTAGCCTTAAACAAGCCAACATGATGGCTTAGGTCTATAGCATCATCCCACTTCCTGTTCTCTTCCTAACTGCTTCCTGTACGTAGATGAAATGTGATCTGCCATGTTTCTGTTGCTTCCACGCCATGCCATACCTCACCACTCGGAATAGACTCTGGCCCTTTGGATCCTAAGACAAACCCTTCTTCTTTAAGTTGCCTCTGGTCATGGTGCTTATTGTCACAGAAATGAAAGAATAAGACACAAAGGGACACACTAAACTCTACCCAATTCCTAGGGCTGAAAAGAAGGCTTAGTGGCTAAGAGCACTGGCTGCTCTTGCTGAGGACCCACGTTCAGTTCCCAGGATGCATGTGGCAGCTCACAAAACTGTCTGTAACTCTAGTTACACACACACACACACACACACACACACACACAAATATATAGGCAAAACATAAACAGATAACACCTAATTAAATAAATCTTAAAACAACAACAGTAACAACAACAAAAAAATCCAAACAATTACCATGCCGAATCAGACACTCCAAGACAGTACAGGTATCAAAATGGGGGCAAGACAGGCAACTTGGGTCAAGTGACTTGAAATTCTCATTTAAAATAGATTCCAAAGATAGCTTTTTAGTAAGTACATTTTTTGGCACTTCCCAGAGTAGTTCTTTATTCTGACTTTTAAATACACCTAACAGCCCATAAAAATAAAGGTGAATAAGATTGTCTTACTTTTTCACAAACCAAAATACACTCCCCATGCAGAATACCTATGCACATGCAGAGATAGCTTCAACCTGTTGTGTTACACGCTGTTTTACAATATCCAGTTCTGTCTGGTTTTTTAGGTGTACAGTGTTCTATGAGTCCTGTAGATGTTTCTCAGTCTTCCACTGTTGGGATGTATCCATTTCCTTGCCAATGCCAATGTAGAAAAAAAAATGGCAAGGAACTAAGTAAATCTCAATAATTTTTAGTGTGTAAAATTTTAGAAGTAGCTTTTCTTGGCTCCAAAGCATACCAGCTTTTAGGGCTTTAGAAATGTATGCTGTAAGTGTGTCTCAGAAAAATTGTAATGCTTTAAGTGCCAGGTCATAAATATTAAGGATAAAACTACTACTTTAGTATTTAAAGAATTAATGAGAATCAGTAGGAGAACCTAATGTAATTATTTAAAAACTTGAATAATTTCATGTTATCAGCCCTTAAGAACATTAACACTAAAGCATGTGAGAAATGATTAATATTTGAAAATGAAGGATATGAAATCAAACTAAATAAAATTTAAAGGAGAAACAAGCTAACACACTTTTTTAAAGCTCTTAACTCTATCTTATAAAAGATGTATTAAAAAAGTATGTTCCATATACTGTGAGCTGTAAATTCATGTTGTTCATCCTTCTGGAAGGGTGAGTCTGCAAGGCTCATGAGGAAAGTTAAAGATGTATGCTTGGGCTGGGGGCGGGGTTAGCTTAGTGGTAGAATATGTGTGTGTACACATACATACATATTTATAGTATCTAATGTATGTATGTGTATATATACACATTAGATACTATATATATGTATTTTTAACAGTTCTTGCTCTCATGTGTATTGATAAATATAAACATATATATATATATATGTGTGTGTATATATATACACACACACACACACACACACACACACACACACACACATACTTTTTTCCACCACTTTTCCAGCCCCCCACCCCCCCAGACATGCTCTCTCTGGCTGTCCTGTGTCGACTAGGGTGGCCTTGAACTCAGAGATCTACCTTCCTCTGCCTCCCAAGTTCTAGGATTAAAGGCCTATGCCACCATGCTTGCCTTAAACAAACACACTTTTTGATTTGTTGATTCTGTTGCCTTTTACTTTGAAGTCTGCCTGTTTTTTTGTTTTTTGTTTTGTTTTTTTTAAATAAAATCCCAAGTATCTACAATAGCAGTTAAAAGAACAGGAGAAAAGAAGAAAAGAGAATAGAGAAAAAAGAAAGAAAACATAGGAGGGAAGGAGGGAAAGAAGGGAGGGAGGGAGAGAGGGAGGGAACATACAAACAAACCAGTGCAGTGTACTGAGAAACTCCTTTACTGTTCAGTCCTAACTCTCTCTGGTCTCCCTGGGTGCAGACTAAACACAGAGCCAGCTCCAGGATTACTAAGGAAAAGAGGAAGACCTTCTTTCTAAACTCCAAATCTGTGTGACAAAGAAAAAGTAGCTGTTTGCTAACTAACCTACTTTTAGGCGTTCACTCAAGTAAATAACTCAAGCTGCATATGAAGAGGGTCGAATTACAGGCTGCTCATGATGGCCCCAAATAAAAAGCCAGCACTTCTAATGAAGGGATGGTTAAAGACAGAGTAAGCCACACGGCACACTTTCTGAATCCCAAATGCCCACGTTACAAAGGAGGGCTGGGGACAACAGCTAAGTGGTAGGTAGCTATTGCTTCTCCTGCTAGGTTTGATTCCCAAAGGGTTTATATACCAAGAATGTAATTCTAAACATTATACATCATAACTAGAATATAGTTAAAAAATCATTTTCAATTAAAAAGAAGATTTTAAGAGTCAGACGTAAGGGAAGTTTGGAATAAAGCAGTGTCTTTTAGATATGATAGGACTGTAACACTCAAGAACTCATAGTTGCCATGGTTGCCTGCTCAAGACCGGCACAATATCAAGCCTGTTAGCATTCTAGTGTGGAGTGGAAAGTGGTTCATGAACCCAGATCCTTAACTGAGGAACAACTGACAGTAGTGAGTCAGTTTTCTTTAAGGGTGTGGCTTGAGGTAGAATTGCCCCTGGCTGGTGCATGCTCTCAGAAGTACATACACAACACAAACTAGTGTCAATAGTTGATGAGACTTAAAAAAAAATGAAGAACCTGAGTGTGGGGGGGGGAGGCTATAGAGAGGTGAGTGAGGGTGTGTCTGGAGGGAGATCAGGTGAGGAGCTGAGGTGAATGTGATCAAAGTACACCATAGGAAATTCTCAATGGAGTATAAAATATTCTGAAGTTCAAGATTATAAATCCACCGAACAAACCAGTTAGTGCATCTCTCCGTGTGTAACAGAACACAAGAAAGTAGACAAAAACATCCGCGTTTTATTTCTGCATAGCGGATGGGTGGGCAGCACTTGAGAAACTAATCCATGAGTGCTTGCACTTGGCCAGTGACGTCTCCCTCATCTGAACTGTAAAGAGGCCTTGCAGCTGCTTAGACAAGCACTTAGCCAAGGCTGTGGGGTCTGCACAGGTACGCTCGCTCTTTTCCTTAAGGACAAAGGGCAGACACTGCCAGCTGAGGGTTCTGCAAAGGGCCACGGTGCTGGGTTTTATGTTACCTGCAGGAAGTTCTGGCTGGAGATGATGAGAGCCAGCTGGGCGCTGAGGTCTTCCGCTTGTGCCTGGCTCCCTCTCACACCCTGTACTAGCTGAGGGATGTGATCAGCCACCGCCTGCAGGGAGCAAGAAAACAGGAACTGAGCATGTGCAGAGAGGGACAACTAGCAAGGGGTGGTGGGAGGGGGGGGACGGCAGGGAAAGGACCCAAAGCAATGACTGCCTATGTGTGATCCACTCCCAGGAACACTAGTACCAGAAGCTGAATTTGACAGCATACTGAACGCTCTTCTCCCCACTCCTCCCACTTTAAGTGGTCCTGATGGGCTCAGTCTATTGATAGCCAATGTTGTATAGATCAGAGCCTTGAAAGAACTTTCCTAGTCAAAACTCACATGCTCTGGGCCAAGAGGACTGAAGGTCAAACATAACACACACACACACACACACACACACACACACACACACACGCACGCACGCACATGCCCGCACACTATTTACAGGTAGATAAACTGAGTCAGATGGCTGCAAGACCAGAAGGAGGATGGGAGAGGTTCAAGAGCCAGCATGGTTAAGTGCTCAGGCCCCTGACTTCTTCTCAGATATGGATTCTGGGCCTCAGCTTACATGTGGTCATCCCACCTGTTTCTCTGTTCCAGGCAGCTCTCGGCATTGCTCAGATGAGAAAACCCAATACACAGGAGAGAGGAGCCATACTCAGCAAAGCAGGGCTATTCTGTGACAGTCACCCCAGAGGAGCCTTAGGAACCAGTTATCTGCTTGCGCTCTTCCTAATTTCCCTCTGATGGGGCAGGCTTCAGAGGCCAGAGTATCACCACTAGTAAAGGTGCCCAGTGCATTTTACCCACCCTCCGCCCTAGCCAGAGTGTAAAATACTTTAAAATATCCCAATGGAAATGTACGCGGGCCCTTTCCAATGCTGATTCCAGAAACTTGGTCCATTTTCCCTCTCCACTTCAGCCTGTCATTTAGATTCTCTCTCGTTTCCTGGCAGGGATGCTCAGAGATCTACTACCTCCAGTCTCTGTGGCAAAGAGAGAGGGAAGGCTGGCTGACTTCACAACAGGTCCCTGGGCACGAGCAGCTTGCAGTCCCTGAGGAGGGGAGAGGCCACTTTCCGACCTTGTTGGCAGCTGAGTGGCACAAGAAAGAACTATAGTGTCTGACTAGAGGCCTCACTCTCCTTCCACACACACTAAGCACAATGGACCACAGACTCTTGAGCATCACAGGCGCTCTTTCCCATACCACACAGTCAAATATGACAGGGGACCTTGGGAAAACCAGAATCAGGAATAGAGAGCTCTAGGCAATTCTCTCCCAGGTGCATGGCCAGTTTGTGAAGATCTGGATTCCCCTTAGAAATGCAGCCACTGCTGAAGGGGCAGCTTCCCCCTGTTGACTCGTTCATTTTCAGAGATTTGGAGGAAAGTCAGAACAGGTTAACTGTCAGAACACTGACACAATCAGACACGCCTGTCACCAGCCTCCACTGGCAACACTCTCAGGTGACTCCACCAAGATGTCCCATGACGTGCAGGAAACAACTCTGCAAAAGGATTTTATGTCCCGATACATCAAAAGTGTCCTGGGAGAGTCAACCCTCTTGGTGGGAAGAGAATGTCTGCAGTAAGCTTGCTTTGATACAATGCCCCCCCAAAACATACAACCAAGCCACAGGAGGCCACAGAAGGCAGATAGGGCAAAGCAGATCTCAGGCGTGGAGAAAGCAGGGAATCAGCCTGCAGTAGTGCATGGACACTGGACACAACCAGTCTCCCAGAGGGGAAGGCACTCTGGAAAGCCAAGCATTTATTTCCATTTCAAAGCTCTAAAATGGCATCATCGATTCTCTTTATTTAACTCAGTCTCTTAAAAAAACAGATGTGGATAAAGAAAGACAATGTTGGAAAAAGAGACACGGCTTCCAAATGGAGGCCCTCCACTGAATAGACAAAAACCAGACATGTGTACACCTGGATCATAGAGCCACAGCAAACTAGATTAGGAGCCTGGAAGACCTGTCTTAAGTGAATTACTGGGGCATGTGGTGGTCTAATGTTATCAGTGATTGGTTGCAGACCTGGCCCTCAGCACACTGAGAGCTTACCTTGCAGCTCTGGACCAGTTGCTGCTGGGCCGCGGGGTTCTTGTTGGAGATGGCTGCATTCTGAGAGGCTGCAATGGTCTGTGTGGCAGCAGCTGCAGCCTGCTTGGCTGCAACCTGCAGAGGACAGTGACACAGGTCAGTCCAGGACTGTACTCGAAAACTCATACGCCATGCCTGTCCACCACGGGAGCAGACAGTGTCCCTCGGAAGCCACCAACCATCTCAACCTGTCGGCCTTTGCTCTCTTCCTTACTGCCTGCTTGCTTTTTGTAAAAGATGGGCGTGATCTTTTGCTGGTCTCATTCTGGTCAGCACGGGGGTAGGGGGTGGGTGGTGGTGGTAGGGGGTGGGGGGGCACTGCCACACCCAGAAGACATTATTTCACAGCAAGCCTTCCTAACCCTTGGCTCTTGGATCTCTCCACCCTGATGTTCTCAGGCCATGCAAATAATGAAGTCAGTCAATTCTCCAGCACTGGGCAGTAAAAGGCTCATGAGGCCCCACATCTAGCTAAGGCGGTTCTGGCAGTGGATGCCAGTGCAGCCCTGAATAGAAGTAATTTTTCAAATTGTGTGAATTCCGTTAAAGTACCCAAACTATCCAACACTGCTAACTTTGATCTGGCATTCTTTATATACATATCATTTTGGTGATTTGACTCCCCCCCCCCAAGTAACTCTCAGCAGTCACAAATGGCACCCTAAAAGCTAGTCTGTTTCCTGACCTCCAGCCGGTTGACAATTTTTTTCTTAATAGCATTTTGTGCCGCGGCATTGGTTGCTACTCGGAGTCCCTCAGCGGCTTCTCTCAGCCTTTGCTGCTGATCTTCATTCTCTGGGTTGGCTGCAGCCCCCTGCAAAGGAAGAAACAGACACGTCAAGTGACCCAGGGACAGTGGGCTCCAACTGCTAAAGGCATCCTTTTAATCTTACTTCTTCCTAGCAATGCCTAATATGGAAAGCCACAAGCTGGGATAGCAGCTGTGTGCTACCAGGCTGTGTCGACCTGTTGTCTCCACAGCCTCCTGAACAGCACTTCCTCAGCCCCTAGAAACAGGATCTTCACATACTAAAGATCAATCCTGCATGCAACGGTAAGAAACGGCACTATAAAGCACACTATACAAATTACTCTGTAGGTGCAATTTCAAAAACTCAAAGCGTCAAAGACATCGGAAGCATTATCATAATATCCCACATTAGTAAGCATGCTTTTTATTTATGTATCAGCTAAAAATCTAAGTAAAAAGAAAACATATTTTATTCCAGTCTGGAGTTTAGTTTTACAAATCTCGTAAGATGCAGTGCCCTGATAGTGTTCTCCCAAGAGGACAGACAATTGTGTGAGTACCAGTTACTTAACAACAACAAAATAAAAAAAATAAAAACAAAAACAAAAATCTTCCCTCCTGCTGAGTTACATCACTATTATGTCAAACATTAAAAGGAAAAAAAAAAGTAATTCTCATTGTAGAAAAAAACTACAACGGTCTCTACCAAAGATGGATGGAAGGAGGGAGAAGACAGACAGACAAAGGACGGCTAACAGTGAGAAGCTCAGGTATGGGAGGGAAGGGGAGTGACCTCTAATGTTCTGTAGCCTGGAAGGGGAGCTATGGCTGAGAACAACTAGCTGTTTCCTCTAAAGTAGTGCACGGGGCGAGTGCTCAGAGTGACAGACAGGAGTGTATGTTATCGTGATCAATTTAAAATTCTGACTTGAACAAAGAGGCTCTGATCGATGTCTCCCCGTCAGATATGAGAAGAGCACGTACGTAAATGGCTTTCTCAAGGATGATTTTATCTTAACTGGTGTGACAGACACCCTGATTGCTCATGTCTTCACATCACTGCTGGAACATTCCAAGGCAAAAGTAAACACGGAAAGTGAAGGTTCCATTGGGAAAATCATGACGGCCAGGAGCAGGGAGGCCACAGGGGTGGGGTCTACCGAAAGACCCCAAGGAAAGTTTGCTAAAGGCCATGAAGAGAAATCCTGTCTGAGACAAACAGCTGGTACCCAACTTCAAAGAGTGAAGCTGGTGCCCTTGGCTGGAAGAACAGTATGGTACCCACACAGCTGTAAACGCTTTGTGCAGGTCCACAGCCCTTGCACTCCGGTACTTCATTGGATTTTGTTCTTAGCATCTCGTCAGTTTTACTGAGATACATAGCATTCCAAGGTGAGGAAAGGCTGGAAGAATGTGCTCATTTTCTTCCCTTGAGACAAAATATGATGAGGAATTTTGATTGTCCATGGTGCGATTTAGAATCACCATGGAAACACCCCTATGGGCATGCCTGTGAAGGTGTGTCTAGACTGAGCTATCTGAGGTGGGAAGGCCCCCTGTAAGTGTGGGCCACCCCATTCCACGGGCTGGGTCCTAGACCAAATTAAAAAAGAAAAGGCAGGTGAGCACCGGCATCGACCTCCCTGCTTCCTGACTAGGGACGTGATGTGACCAGCTACAACTGCCCCGAGACATGAAGGACTATCCCCTCAAACCGCAAGGCGGCCTGTTGCAGCAATGAGAGAATCCACGACACTGGCGGTGTTAGTCGCTATGCTTTGCCTTCTGCACTAAGTCGATACCTCTTTCTCAAGTTCAACGACTCCACCGCTACTCTAAGTGTGCTAGGTGTCACAAAGCCGCTCAACGAGGAGAAATCCAAATTCCATCAAGTGCTAACACAGTGTCTGTTTACATTTTCAGGACACAAGACCAACGCCCTACCTTTGCGGCTTCCACCATGCGGGCAGTGGAGTCAGCCAAGAGTTTTGCGGCTGCCAGGAGCTTCTTGGAATTCTCCATGTCAATCTCAGCCTCCGCATCTGACCTCATGGCATTGACGAGATCTGATGTGGCCTGGGCGAGCACCCGGGCTTGGCGCACCATTTCACCTAAAGGATAGGACAGAAAGTGTGGGCTTTTATTCACCATTCTGTCTAAGCATGATCTCAATGGTCAGGAGTGTTTTTGTTCATTTGTTTTTATTTCCTGTTGCTATTTGTTTTAAATAGGCTTTCCCGTGTCTCAGGTCAGCCTCTGACTCTCTGTATAGCCAAGGATGGTTTAGATCTGCTAATGCTCCTGCATCTACCTCTTTAGTGCTAGAATTATAGGCTTGCTCCACTGCGCCTGGCTTAGGAGCTGCCAGAAGCTGAACCCAGGCTTTTTTGCACACCAGCCAGGTAGTTTACCAGACTGAGCTACACCTCCAGGTTCTGGTCTGGAGCTTTTATTACCGCTTGTCCTTGCTGTGCACGGGACTCTATGAAAGTCTATTTCAACTTTCCTTGGGAAGCGGGAGGGCTATTAAGACATAATATTACAAATGAAACCACCACAGGGAAAGGACTGGTTCCTCTCCCGAAGCTTTTCTGAATAAAGACAAGCTTTTATACATACGGGCATGTGCTAAAATCAGTGTGGTGAGTTCGATGGTATTGTGGGACAGAAAAAAAAAAAAAACAGTGGGAAAACGGACAAAATTCGAATACTATGGGTGGCTAAAGGAACATGTCCATGAATGCTCTGACAGATGTGTGTGAGTTATAGAAGAGGTTAGAAACGGGAGGAAGAGGAGAGGTGAGACTCTGCCCCTCTGCAACTTTTAAGGAAAGTAAAGCTCGAACTATTCTAAAATAAAAGGTTTATGGAAAATAAGCCAAAAAGAAGAAGAAGATGAGCAGAAAATCCAGTTGTACACAGCATTCCAGGTTTGTTAGGAAATTAAGAAGCATATAAAAGAACACGAGATAATTTTCCCAATAAGTATCAGACACTTTCCATGCCTATGGTGCACGTCTGGAATCTCTGGACATCACTGGCTAACACAGAGTATCACAAGGCCAAGGCTAGCCCTGACTAAAGAGGAAGAGTCTGTCTCCAAAACCCAGCCAAACAAAAGGGCCCCCACCCAGGAGTTGTTATACAGTACGGCCATATATTGGCAAAGCAGACTTCTTACAGGTAGCTGGTAGGGTTGCAAATTCTTTTTGGAGAGAAATCTCATTAAGAAGTTTAAACTTCAAAATCCATGTATCAGTTGGCTGGGAAATTCCACAAAAAGGCTTTGCTAGAACATACGGAACTCTAAAAGCAAATGAGGACACATTTTCAAGAAGGCTCTGTGTAGGAACATTTTTGTAAAAGCAAAAAAACCTGGGAAATGAAATATCTATTAACAGACAACCAGTCCAAGGGCCGGTGGCTAAGCTCGGTGGTGGAGCGCTTGCCTAGCAAGCAGCCAGAGCCCTGGGTTTGAGCCCTAACCCTGAGAAAACAGATAATCTGTTAAGCTACGATGACGCTTCCAAAATGTAATGCTGTACTGTCATGAAATTCAGATGTATAGGTGGACATGGGAAAATGCATATGTAGAACACAGTTATACTTATATATACTGGGGTATGGTCTCCATCTGATCCTCTACATACAACCTTTGAAAGGTAGGGACAAAGGAGAGAAACCGTGAGGTGATAATGGTAGGCTGACTTGTCCACTACAGCAACCATTCTACCACAGGTCAGGATGGGATAATGTGGCCAGCTCCGGGGCTGCAGAGGGCATGGTGACAGGACACATTCAGAATTTACTTTTCAATAAACCGAAGAGGCACACTGCGTAGATAGTTGCAATTTGCAGCATGAGTATATTACAGTACATTAAAACATCCCACCCTATGTCTCCCCAGGAAATGCTAACAAGGGCTGTGGTTTGGGCCCTTCCTTCAGTCCCATCTGCTGCCTACTGTCCCTCCTGGTTCTCTACAGTGACCTTGGGGGAGATTTCTGGTGGACTTTTAAATAAATGTCTTCATTCCAAGCTCTGTTCCTGTTTCCTTTGGTGGCTGCTCTGACTTTACCAACTATGCCTTGTATACAGGATGAAAGGGGCTTATTAAAATTATGAATTTGAATAATGAAATTCTGATGATGTTTTTACTTGTGCCCCTGGAAGAGAATATCAGGGCTCCCAGATCTTTCTCTGTGCCACAGTGAGAAAGCTTTAGATCACTGTTGCTCTTCCTCCTTTCTCCAGAGGTCACCTAGAAAGTGACCGTCACCATGAGGAACACCCAAACCATCCAGACCCTCCTCTCCCAAGCCAGAGTCTCACCAGCATCACCCATGGAACTGAAGATGCTCTCAGTGACACACATAATGGTGTCGGTGGCCTGGTCGTAGCGGCCAATGGGCTCGCCTCGGCTGGCAAACTGCCGCACATGTTGCAGGAGGTCGTGCAGGGCCTGGCTGACCACGCTGGCCGCCGCGCTGACCTGCTTCAGCAGCTCACTGTCACCAGTGGCCGCCTGGCAGGCGCGAACACAGTTTTCCACAGAGCGGTCCACCAGCTTCCCAGCTTCGATCAGCTGCTCCTGGCACACCGGAGAGCTGATGGTGGGGCTCACTACCTAGAAAGACGCAGACAGGGTTACTGCAGTAGATGTTCCTGGTGCCCCAGGGTGTCTGGCATCTCCCTCAGGTCCCTCTGTCCCTCACTTAGCACACATACCAGGGACCCAACTCATCCAATGGGGTAACCTCTACACTCTTAAACTTAATTTGTGATTTGAGAAGTCCTGCTAATTAGTCACGTACCGCAGTCTTCATTATCCAGTACTTAAATAAGGACAAAGTCCTGATAGCTACTAATTCTATGCTTTTTCTCTTATGAAATTCTATGGGGGAGGTGGGGGAGGGGTGGGGGCGGAAGGGGAAATGCCAGCCCTTCAACCACTGATCTACAAAGCTAGAGATGGAATGCCCAGCAGCAGAAGCCTCCCATCCTCAGAGAAGCACACATGCATGACAGAATGGAAGGGCACCTGGGATCAGACAGGTCTAAGTCATATTCCTAACTCTGCTGCTTATTTCTATGGCTGAAAGCACCTCACTAACACTGAGTCACCTCAGCTTTCTTGTCAGTAAATGAAGGCTGATGGTAAACAATGTACAGGACTGCAGGGAAAAGCCAATCAGGTGACTCTGACACAATGAACACAGCCTGGAGCCACTCACAGTGTCAGGAGGAACCGCCCCCCTGGGAAGCTGTGAGTTCAGTACCAACCCCTTTACAACGTTGTGCCATGAATTGCAAAGCCTCTTTTTCTTTCTTTCTTTCTTTCTTTTTTTTTTTTTTTTTTTGGCTTTTTATACCCCTGCCCCAAGACAGAGTTTCTTTGTGTAGTCCTAGCTGTCTGTAGACCAGGCTGGCTTCAAACTCAGAGATGTGCTTGCCTCTGCCTCCAGAGATGCTGGGCTGGGATTAAAGGCACACTGGAAATAAGATGCACTGAGAGGCCCAAAATGACACACAGCAATTTGCTTCTAACAATAGATGAGCCAACAGTAAAAGCAGAATTAAGAGTGCTTACACTAAGGTCCTGTCAGGCCTGACTGATTGTGCTGGTGCACAACTTTGATTCCAGTACTTGAGAGAGAGAAGCAGACAGATTTCTCTGAGCTTAAGGCCAGCCTGGCCTCCCAATAATAGTTCCAGGACAACCAAGATACATAGTAAGACTTTGTCTCCACTCCAAACCCCTTGCAAAACAAAACAAGACAAAAACAAACAAACAAAAACCCCAATGAAAACCCAAAAACCCAACCAAGCATCAACCAAAACAAAAATCCTATTCATGTACCCCCCAAAGAAGACATCTGCAGCAAGCTCTAGAGCTCAGGCAACTTAAGGAGAGTGTACGGCACTGTGGGGAGGGCTGGCACGCCAGTTGGCTTACCTTAGCACACGCCACGAGCTGTGAGGTGGAGAGGGCACACTGGGTGGCTGCGGCGATCACCCTGTTCTGTAGGACGGTGTCTTCAGCCACCTGGGCCACATTCTTCGCCTTGAGGACTAACATGGCAGCAGCGTTGGCAACAGCTTTAGCCAGACTCATCAAAACATCCTAAGAAAAAGGGACAAAACTTATTCATTATCATCACCCTTCACACACTAAAACTGTGTGCAGTGTACCCAACCTTTCTATGAAAATTCCATTTGGTTTCTATCTTCATGACCTTGGGGTTTTTTTCCCCCTTTATTTTTTGGAAGGACAATCCATCCTTGCAAGAAACTAAGGGGGAAAAAAACAGAACTTGTATTTTGATAACAAAATGTGTCCCCGGAGACACTGAGTAACACAGGTTTCAACTAAAACAGGTCAGGGCTGGGGAGATGGCCCAGCCAATAAAGTGCAAGCAGCAGAACCTGAGGCTGGATGCCTAGCACATTAAAAAATATAATAATTTTTTTAAAAAGCCACCAGCAAATTGCACATGTTTGAAATGTGCTGAAAGGCCAGAGACAGGCAGATCTCAGAGCTCACTGGTCAGTCAGCCTAGTCTAACTAGTGAACTTCTAATCCAGAGACAGACTCTGTCTCAAAAAGTATGGTCCAAAGTGACTGAGAGAGACATTTGACACTAAACTCTGGTGCACATATGCACACATATATGCATGCCTACCAAACACATGCACACACATATAAGTACATATACAGATCATCCAAATACCACACACAAAAATGAAGCACCAAAATAAAAAATGAAACCAAAGAAACAGGAAGGATTTAATTGGTGGTTTACATTCATGCTGTCACACTGATCTTTCCCTCTTGTATGCTTGATGGACGACATGTGACATCAGGAGAAGCTGAAGAGATACTCAGATGCCACCAGCACTGCAATAGGTAGGCATTAAATCATGGCCTCTGAGTCATCGTGCCCCAGAGTAAATTGAAAAATCAGTCTTTCAGATGCCTAGCTTACACAAGCATCTGAGTTATGATCCAAAAGTCAGCGGTCCCTCTGCATCTATAGGACAATGTAGGACACACACGGACTAAGCACCAATTCCTACAGCTGGAAAGCCAAAGACTACACTGAACAGGGCTTATTCACAGCATCTAGAACCTTCTGCATAGGGACTGGATTATGCAAAGTAGAAGAGAACTTATATAAGTTAACTATGGCAAGAGGACAAAGAGTGGGGTATGCCTCAGCTAGTACACTGCTTGCCCAGTGGATATGAAGCCCTGGGTACCATGCCTATAAACTAGTCATGGTAGTGCCTGTCTGTAATCCCAGAACATGGGAGGTGGAGCAGGAGATCTGAACTTCAAGGTCATTTTGGGCTAGTCTAATTGGTAGGACAGTTTAGATGACATGAAACCCTATATCAAAACAACAACCATGTCTAACTACAGTTGCTAGGACTTCGAGAATTTAAAGTTCAGCTTATGAAAGGCATTCTGCCTGCAGGAGAAACAATCCTTTGATTTGGGCCACCAGATCTGTCACCATCTGTTTGACCTGAAGACGAACCACTTTTACATATAATTTACTTCAGTGCTGCAAATACTGAGAGCACCTTAGTAGATTTAGAAATGCCTTCCCTAACATCCAAGCTATTGTTACTCTGAGTAAACATGTCAAGGCTTTTCTCAAGAAGAAATGTGGTCAGAAGTCTTTAGTTGTTCATCAGATAATATAGAAAAGCATGCTTAGTTCTAAATGTCAAGGGTACCCAAAGGCTCTTTAAAGTGAGAGATTTGATGAGAAAATGCATTGGAAAGTATGTCCAGCCTGTTAGTGTTTACAGCAGTGAAGAATACATTCAATGCAGGCAACTCTAAACCATGGCAAATAACCTAACAAAGCTGCTTTGGGGCTGGAGAGATGGCTTCTTAGGGAAAAGGCACTGACTGCTCTACTTCATGACCAGAGCTTGTTTTCTGGGGTCTACATGGTTGGAGAAGAGAATGGACTCTCCAAGTTGTCTCTGACCTCCCCATGTATGCAGTGGTAAAGTGGTAAGCATGAGTGTGCGCGCGTGCATACACACACACACACACACACACGCACAAGTAGAATAAAATAATAAAATAAAATAGACCTTGATGTTAAAATAGACAAAACCAAAGTGCCCTTAAAGGAACCATTTACTGTGGCCTTTCATGGATTCATGACAGTACAGTACCTGGGTGTCCAAGAAAAAGCTTTCAAACAGGAAGCTTTTAGAAGTCAAATGATGCCTGTCAGATGCACAACTGACAGGAGTTGTTCCCAATTTGCCGCTCCTCACCACACCACCCCCCATGGATCTTGGACATTCGCCTCTAAAATTCAGGTTACAAGCAAGTTGGACGTCACAAATTACTAACAAGATTTTTAAACCTAACTCTCTGAAGCTGACCAGGACATTTCTTCGCGCAGGGACCGAGACTGGGTCACCCACAACTACAACTGTCACAAAGGACTTTGTTCAAGTCATTGAAAGACATTCTCTTTCTATTAATTTTGTCCAAATACAGTCAGGAAAAGAATGGAATACTGCAGTTATAGCTGCTGGCCAGTCTGTGTCAAACTTCTCAATAAGCCCACTATTGTGGAGCTCGTGTGAAATAAATCCTTGTCGGCTCTGGGAACACAAAGTACATTGAGAACCCAAGAGAAGCTTTGCCATGGGACTCAAGACTCAGAAAAACAGAGTGGAAATCCTGTGCCAGGTGGCCCCACGGCTGCAAGAGGGAGGCTGGGGAGTACTGTCCTACCACACTAGTCACCATCTACACACCCCACTCTCTGGAACATTCCACCTTGTCTCTGAACCTGCCTCCTAGCATGGCCAAAGAGAAACAGGCACAAGGCAGGGCCTGCATCTGAACGTGGTGGAAACATCCATCTGAGGAAGCAGAGCTTCAGAAACCTACAAGGGCAAGTCACTTATGAGAATCTAGGGCATCACCTCCATCACCCTAAATTCGGGCAAAAGTATGCTTTTTGGGTGCACACTCGAGCATGGAGATCACGTACAAACTTGGGTGGCATGCCTCAGGAGCTCTCTACCTTGTTTTTTTTGTTCGTTTTGAGACAGAATCTCTCACTGTCCATATGCCTGCCAATTCTCCTAGTCTCTGAGTCCTGGGGGAATCCTTCTGATCTTCCCAGCCCTGACTTTACAGATACGTACTACTATGTATTCACAGCTATAAACAGGAGCCCCGGGGATTGAACTCAGGTCCTCAGGCTTTGGTGGCAAGTTCATCACCGACTGAACCGTGTCATCAGCCCCCCAAAGCAATACTTCTGAGCAAAGTAAATCGAGTACTTAAAGACAATGAAGCCTAGAAACAGCAGCTGAAACTAATATGGACCAAATTCCTAAGAGTTATGGGCCTAGGAAAATTACCTGCACAATATAAAATGCAAGGCCAGTACAACAATAGCATGGAGATCTGGAAAGGACTCAGGATGGAGACAAAAAGAGGGGTCAGTGGGGTGGGTTATGTGGTCTGCAGTGAACTCTACACACAGTGAAGCAATTCCTGGAATCCAGTATAGAAATGACTTTCAGGAAGCGATGACTGGCACCCAGCCTATACCCTCTCTGGAGTACAGTGGTGCACAAAGACAGAGCAGTCAAACAAACCAAACCAAACAAACTTTTTAAAAAATAAGTACTTTTTAAAACAATATTTTTCTGCATTTGGTGGTATATATGATGTCGGTTCTTATACATTTGAAATTCTAGCATGCATCAAGATTGGTGTTCAATCCCCAACACCACATACTCAAGGCACAGTGGAACACACATGTAATCACACCATGTAGGAGATGAAGGCAGGACGAACAAAAGTTCAAAGTAAACCTCAGATACAGAGTGAGCTTGCAGTCAGCTCATGCTACCCGAGACCACACCGCAAAGACTGAAATAAAAGGGCTGAAAGCCAGCCGAGTGGTTCAGAGTGCTTGTGGTTGCTGCAGAGGGCCTGAGTTCAGCTGTCACCACACACTCTATGTGGCTCAAAACTGACTGTAACTCTATCCCCAGGGGATCTGACACCTTCTTCTGACCTCTTGAGGATATCCTCGTATACATGTATATATACACACACAGATATACATATTTACATAAATAAATATAAAATAGGTTTAAAAAAGTAAAGTGTAGTGAATTTCAATTGAATCATCATACAATGAATTTGATAGATTTGGATAAAGGAATCCTTCTAGGAGCATAGCTTAGAAATACAATATTCTAATCAGGATGGAGTTATTATTACTTACAAAAATCAGAGACCTTAAAAAGGAATATGGGTTCCTGGCCCCAAGTATACAAGCAGAGCAGAGCACACCCTGGCCTAGAGTCTCGGTCGTAACACTTGTGCTGTGGGGTGGGGTTAGGAGGGAGCAGACAAGCTGAGATATTGTCCAAGCTTCAATATGGTGAAACTGGCCGTGAATCAAGCCAGCTGCAAACAGTAGCAACAGCTGCTCAGCAGAGGACGGGCAGTATAAGGCTCTAGTATTGAAAAGGAAGGATCATAAGAAATGACTTCTCAGGGGCCACCCAAACTCTCGGCCTTCCTACATGGCAAGACCTGAGCTCAGGCAGCAAGTGCTTGTTAGATTATCCTGAATTACATACCCAGACCCTACTTTAAGAAATACAATAACGTAGAAAACACTTCTTATAAAGTAAAGGCCAGAGATGGAGATACAGCTCAGTGTGCACGCTTGTAACCGAAGTACTGGGGAGGCTAAGAGAGCCTGATCTCTGGGCTTGACTTCGTGTCAGCCTGCCTCAATCAGTGATTCCCAGGTCCTAGTGAGAAACGTGATCTCAAAAACCAAAGCAGGATGGACAGCATCCTGAGAAATGACATCAGAGGCGGACCCTGCTCACACACGGAAGTGCACCAACACTCCAACAACACAAATTAAAAAAACAACAAAAGAGTGGGTCCATTGAAAGATACTCCCCACAAAATAAAAGAAGACTTGCTGAGAATGGGGAGTATGAAGGTCGGGTGGTCAATACAAATGAGTCACAATTATTGTATCCACTTTTGTTTATAAAATGTACAAGAAACTGGTAACAACCAGAAAGGCTAAGTGTTTTGGAGGATGAAACATAATATCAGTGACCTGTTTTTTTTTTTTTTCCCCCATTAAAAATAGATAGATTTGGGGCTGGTGATATGGCTCAGCGGTTGAGAGCACTGACTACTCTTCCGAAGGTCATGAGTTCGGATCCCAGCAACCACATGGTGGCTCACAACCACCCATAATGAGATCTGATGCCCTCTTAGGGTGTCTGAAGACAGCAACAGTGTACTTACATATAATAAATAAGTAAAAACCTAAAAAAAAAAAAAAAAAAAAAAAGTTGGGCAGTGGTGGCACACGTCTTTAATCCCAGCACTTGGGAGGCAGAGACAGGCGGATTTCTGAGTTCAAGGCCAGCCTGGTCTACAGAGTTGAGTTCCAGGACAGCCAGGGCTACACAAAGAAACCCTGTCTTGAAAACCAAACCAAACCAAACTAAAACAAACAAACAAAAAAAGATAGATTTAATTGACACTAAAGACCTCCCTCCTCAAATCATCTCCTTGGATTGTCTTCTCAACAACCCCAGGAAGATCAAGCTTGTGCTCTGATACATCCTGTGAGGTCAGACTCCTCACAATGACACATTTCCAAGACTGGGGAGCCGCAGATGTCTTACTTGGAATCTCTCGTCCGTCTCGTTCTCTCCGATCTGTCTCAGGAGATCTCCACTGGCTTGGCCGATGCTTCCGGCAGCCGTCAAAACAGTCTGTCGTGGCTACAAACAGAGAACATGAGCTGGGTTGGAAAGAAAATGAAATTCTTCCCACGTCTCGCCACATATCGGTATAGTGAGGAACCCAACAGAACAGCTCCTTCTCCACACAAATGAAGATTTTCGGTTGTATGCCAGATAGGAGGAAAAAGTAAACCCTGGTGAGATGCAAGGAAATGCTCATCATGCAGTAACGGACAGATGTGCTTGAAATTTCCAATAAAAGGGTCTTGCGCAATTAGAACAAAGCTGGTTTATACAGACGTTCAGTTGCAAACCTGTAGGTATGCCTCTTACGTACTAGTCAGATTGGCTTTCTACTAGAAGAATCCCTCTCCACCCCAGGGGTTGAACCATAGGATCTGACCTGCTTCAGTAACTCTGATACTACCCTGAGATATTTTCTCAGGATGGAAGAAACCTTTCAGGAAGCCAGAGCTCCAGAGACCTGAAGGGATACACAGTTCTCGTCTGAGTGTGACTGAGTGTCCCCAGGGCTCACCTCTCCAGAAGTAGGCTGCACGGCCTTCAGCAAATCAGACACGGCCCCGGCGAGGGTCCTGGCAGCTCTGAGAAGGTCCTCCCCACTCCCTACATCGTCATCCATGAGGGCCGCCAGCAGCTTGACCCCCTTGGACATTTCCGTCAGGTTGGAAGAAATTGTAGTGATTGCACAGCCCACGGCTGTGTAGTCAGTGTCTGCGGGGTCACCTGAGACCAAGACCAAAGGAGAGTGGTGACAGACAAGGAGGGGCCTGCTTGGCAGGAAGTAGGCAGGGCTGATGAGACTTTCTCAAAACTCCCACTGGCAGGGGCCCGTGCCCCACCATCATGCAGGTATCAATACAGAATTCCAAGGAGTTCAGTGAAATGGACATCACCCTGACTCCAAGGTCTTCAATGAGGTCCTCTCACCTGGAGGTCTCACATACTGAAACAGTGAACAAGGCTCCTTTAGAATTCTAAAGCAAAGATCTTGAATTTGAGGGGACTAGAAGGAACTGGAGTTGGGGGTGGGGGTTGGAAATAATGAAAATATTGTATACTCTGATATGGAATTTTCAAATAAAACTTCAAAAGTAGTGGCCAGTAAAGATGGCTCAACCAGTGACAGCGCTTGACAGGTCTAACAACCTGCAGTGGTTCCCTACAGCCTAACAGTGAAAGGAGAGAGCTAACTCTTGAAACTCACTCTCTGCTCTCCACATGTGCACGGTGGCACTCATGTGTCACCCCACCTCACTCTGATGTAAATGTAACTAAACATTAAAAGAAAAATCCAAAGCATTTTCCTTGAAAATACCAAGACCCAAGTTCAATCCCTAGAACCTACATTAAAAAAAAAAAGTCATGCTGGCATAAACTTGTGATATCAATGCTGGTGGAGTGGGGACAGACAGATCCTTGGACCTGCTGGCCATCTGGTCCCGATTACTTGTGGAGTTTCAGGCCAAGGAGATACCCATCACAATAAAAAAAGGACTGCTTGAGGAACAACAGCTAAAGTTGTTCTTTGACCTCCACACACAAATATATACAACTCAATTTCTGAAGCATATATCTGTATCCCACGACCCCAGTCCAGGGGTCACTCTGCTCCCGAAAACATTGGTACACTGCAGACAAAAGCCCAGGTATTTCCTGGCTCTCACCAGAAGGTGTGAGGCTGGGAGTCAGTCCATCCTAGGAGACACAACTACTGGACCAGATGAACAAAGGAAGGATGCTTGACATCCCTAGACTGTAAACTCTCCAAAGGAGAAACTGCCCTCAAAGACTTTCAAGTATGTTCACATGCTGATGGCCAGTAAGGAACACTAAGTAAATGCTCTTTAACCATACCTGACATCAACAAACAGGAAGGAGATGTTTCTTACATTTATCTTGGATCATTTTGAGCAAATGCTTAAAGTGGGCCAGATAGCTCAGATTAGCCTGCCTTCTCACAGGATAGCAATCTGTTGCTTCAATGAAAGAATGAACACACACACACACACATACACACAAATACCACACACACTCTCACATGCATGTATACACACACATACTCACACACAGACTCTCACACTCACACACACAGACTCACACATGCACATGTGCGCGCACACACACACCAGCACAAGTCACTCAGGGACTTACCAGCTGTGAGGTTGACAACAGACGCCGTTCCAGCTGTGATAGCATCGACTTGAGAGTGGATTTCATGCTTGGATTCATCCACTTTGTTCTGAACCCATACCCTCGATGCCTGTAAAGCCAGACAATGGAACAACCCAATCACAGCACTGAACTGCCCAGGACACCAGGGAAGTGAAGCTGTATGGTGAGACCAGCACTTGGCTGTCCTCTTCTTCCTGGACCAGCACTGAATAAGCCCAAGTCATTGTTAACAATATCTGGACAGGCTTCTTGTGTGTCTAGAGATGTTGAAAGATGCATACATTCTCTGTATCTTATATTGTAATTTTAAAAAGTTCTAATATTTAGGAAAAATAATTCATTATGGCTATATCTAGATGAAGACAACTGAGAGAGTCAAAGGTCACCTATATCACTTCTTCTTAGACCAGGGAACATCACGGAAGAAGGGGAGGAAACAATTTAAAAGCTAGAGAGAAGAGGGGTATGAAGGTTTGAATGAGAACGCCCCCCACGGTTCGTCAGTTTGAATACCCAATCCCCAGTTGGTAGAACTGTTTGGAAAGGGTTAGGATGTGTGCCCTTGTTGGAGGAGGTGTGTCACTGGGGTGGGCTTTGAGGGTTCAGGAGACTCAAAGAGTCTCTGTCTACCTCCCACTTACAGATCAAGATGGTGTTTTCATTTGTTCCTGTACCATGCACTCATTCCGGCATCATGGACTCTAACTCTCTGAAACCATAAGCCTATTTAAATGTTTTCTTTTATAAATTCCCTTGGCCATGGGAACAGAAAAGCAAGAGAAGTAGAGTGCTGTACTATGCTGTCCTCCGGGCATGACATGACCATGACCCTCTTGGGATTTTCAGCAGCTAGAGTTCTTTGTACAAGACTGGGTCCATCAGGGAGGCTGTAAGACTTACAGGCCTTGCCCCAGGCTGAGGATTGACAGGCAGTTAATGGTTGCCGGAAGGGGAGAGTCATTTTCTTTAGTGCTGTGGCTACCAATAAGGAGCTCTGACAGAACTCTCACACATGAGAGTAACCCTGATGAAGCTCACTGGCTCATACAACAAAAACAACACCACACCAGAGACCAAGTAATGACAGAACTCAACAGGAATGGGAGGAGAATGGAGGGGTAATGGGGCAAATATGATCAAAGATATGTGTGTGTGTGCTTGTGTGTATCTATGAAAATTTCACAATGAAACTCAGTATTATATGTAATTAGGATATGTTAATAAACCCAATGTCGCTTAACAACTTGGTACTTACATTAACACTTGGTAGTAATTTTCACTTTGCTTCTTTAGGGAGCTGAGTTAGAACTTTTGGGTATGTCAGCTCACAAGAGTTCTTCTTGACCCACACTGAAGTTTTTCCTATCACATGACTTGAACTACCATGAAGAAAATCAAATATCACGGCCATATGCAGGTGGCATTTTTTCCCAGTACACCTGAGAAGAGGGGCTAAGGCTCCTGCTCTGTGCCTGCTTTACCTCTATCAGGTGACAGGACAATGGCAAATTATACCCAGGTCCTGGGCCTTGCCTTTCTCTGACTACAGAAACTCAAAGGCATCTCTAGATCTTATATTTTGTTCAGCCCGTCAGATATGTCCAACCTGAAGACTGTCGGCTACAAGGGACTGGTGACAGTTAGCCCAACACAAAATGTAAATTTACTTAAAACACTATGAGAGTTGTACGTGTGATTTATTTATCAATCATTGTTTCATAACTGACTTGTGTCAGGAGTTTGGATATGCCTGCTAGTATTTATATTGAAAATGATGACCTGCAGGTAACATACTGATCTAGGTTCAGGCTCAGGGGAGTCACCTGTTATGTTAGTTCATCCTAACTCTTCAAGAACTGGTGAATTGGGACCGTCACCTCCACATATTTTAAAGCTATCTCCCAAGTGTTCTGGATAGGGAAGTCCACTTATTTAGTCCCATTCTGGGGTTCCCTGAGCAAAATATATATTGAATTCAGGGACTTGGGAGGCGTGGTACCGAGGGTAGCAACAACCTCCACTCACATCAGTATAGAGATGGAAACAGCATTCAGGGACAGCTTCAAAAGAGTGATGAAGAGTGATCCCGCTCAATGAGACGAGCCTGCAGAACGCGCTTCGGTTCTAACCCTGCAATGCCTGTCTTATAGCAGGGTTTGTTTTTGTTGTTGTTGTTGTTGTTGTTTTACCATGACTGCACACCAGAACATGGTATGTAGTCACTTATAAGTATATACTAGCCATAAAGTACAGGATAACCATGCTAACAGTCCACAGACCCAAAGAAATGAAGCAACAAGGAGGGCCCAAAAGGGGACATTCGAATCTCAAGAAAGGAAAATACAATAGACATTGGGGGTGGATGGGGGGGACTAAATGGGGGAGGGGTGCGAATGGGACAGGAGGGATCAAGTGGATGGAGGGAGAGGGTGTGGGAAGAGAGAATTAGAATTGATGGGGGGGCGTCTCTGGGACAACCTGGAACAATGGAAACTCCTAGGAATCTATGAGGGTGACCCTCACTAAGACTCCTAGAAATGGGGGATACGGATTCTGAACCAGTCATCTCCTGTAACCAGAAAAGACTTTCATTGGAGGGACTGGGACACTAACCCAGCCACAAAACCTTAGACCTACAATTTGTCCTGCCTACAAGATGTGCGGGGGTAAAGATGGAGCAGAGACTGAGGGGTGGGCAATCAACAGCTGGCCCAGCTTGAGACCCATGCCATGAGAGAGAGCCACCCCTGACATTATTAATGAAATTCTGCTATACTTGCAGATAGGTGCCTAGCATAATTGTCATGTGAGAGGCTTCACCCAGCAACTGATGGAAACAGATGCAGAGACCCACAGCCAAACATTAGACAGAGCGTGGGGAATCCTATGGAAGAGAGGGAGGCAGGACTGAAGGAGCCAGAGATGTCAAATATACAAGAAAACGGCCCAGAGACCAAATCACCAAACAGAGAGCATGCATGGGATGAACCTAGGGCCTCGGCACATATGTAATAGTCGGCATATATGTAATATGCATGTCTTCATGTAGGACCACTAACAGTAGGAGCAGGGGCTGTCTCTGTCTTTGTTGCCTGCCTTTGGATCCCTTCTCCACAACAGAGCTGCCTTGCCTAGCCACAATAGAAGATGCTCCTAGTCCTACTGCATCTTGATACGCCAAGGCAGGGTGATACTCATGGAAGGCCTCCCCTTTTCCGAGGGTGGGAGTGGGTAGGGGAGGTGAGAGGGAAGAACTTGGGAGGAGGAACAGGGAAGATGCAATTGCAATGTAAAGTTAAAAAAAAAATCTATATTTGTATCTATAGATATCTAGATAGAAATTATGAAATTATCTATCTAGATATGAAGAGGAAAATGAAAACCAGCCAAACCCCTGCTGATGCCCAGGCAGGCCACCAAGACTGCTTTGTGTAACCTGAGATTTACTGGTGAGGCTCTGCGGGTGGGTTAGGTGCAGAGAAAGAGAAAGAAGGAGAGGTTAGAGGAAGGCCGTGGTGGTGTGGTGCTGGGGAGCAAGCTTGCTAGTCAGTGCCTTTCAAAGTTTAGCATGCCTACAAATCACAGGGACAGCTGGCTAACAGGCACCGTGACATAGGATGCTGCTGGCAGCCTGTGATTTCTGCTTCTCTCCTAAGAATCTGGATGACGTCAGCGCTGCCGGCCTGCAGACCACCACCTGAAGTAGGAGATATTAACTGAGTCTGTGCTGCTGCAGCAGAAGCTACCCGAGGGCCTTGGAGCTCTTTACGTCACACTGCTGTAAGCCTCAGCAGTGCTATAGCTAACCCAGGAGTTCACAGAACACAAGATACCTGGACAGCAGCATCAGCATCCCTGGGAATGTGTTGCAAACACATATTCCGAGGCCCCACCCCATACCCACTAGATCAAACACACATGGGAAGAACAACACGACTGAAGGTGACGGCTAGGGCCCAGACGTAAGTTTAACAAGCCATCCATGAGGTCCCGTTGTGTATGGAAATCTGGGAGCTGCTGGTAGTATTTAAAATGACAAGCCAGCTACCTGAGTTGAGCCCTGATTAGATGCTCACGCTAAGAACTGGATCATCAATGCTTCCCATCAGCCTTGTTTGCAGATGACGGGGGAGAGGCTTGAGGGATAGGATGCCCAGACTCATACGGGAGTGAATTAGAGGAGCTGGGATAAGAGCCTCCAGGGTCTAAGTCCTTAGCATAGCAGCTCTGTTTCCCAGTATACATCAAAACACACAGATTTCTTTATCAGATAGCTAGAGACAGCTTCGTCCAGCAGAATCTGCCCATGCACATAATCTTGTTCTGAACGAGGACAGAGACACAGGATGAGACCCACTGATGGATATTTACCATATCTTGGCCGAGAGGTGGCAGTGAGTCGAGCTCGCTGAGGTCATCCTGAGCCTGCTGGACAGCGTGCATGCTTGTGTTGATGGTCCCCATAAGGGCTTGCTGTGCCGAAGTCTGCAAAGGCAGATGAACACAGGGTGGTGAGCAGCATCTGGGGACTGACAGGGTCTCCTTATAGAACGGAACCAAACTAAACCTTCTCAGTCAAGAGCACATCTCATTACGCACCTGAACTAGCTCCCATTTCAACCTGAGGGCTAGAAATAGCACATTATATTAATAGAACACAAAGCGAAGGTGATTGCAGTGAAGGGCTTATAATCAGAAGGGTGTGGAGAGCTTAATTAGCAGATGAGAAGGCTGACGAGCGGCTTCACGGGGGAATTCAGGGCGTACAGCTGATCTGAGTACTGTGGATAAAAGATCGCACACACAGAACACCAACGGCTGTTTAATAAGAAGGATTCTTGATCACACTCCAGGACTCTGCCTAAACCTATAGCCCGCATGCTTTTTTACAGTTGAATCAATTCCCAACTTTGATATTCTTGAGTTCTCAAAACTAGCCCAATATCGAGGGATCCCCAAGGCAGGCCTGAGCAGTATTTGATCAGATGGATTCGAGAGGATTCAGCAAGACTAGGTTACAAAGGTTGATGACAGGTGACGGGCCCATTTCCCACTTTCTATGAGGGTATCAGGGCCAGCCAGCTTGAAGCTGCGACATGTAGGGAAACGGAGTCTGTTTCTATAGCACAAAGAGGTTCGTGGTGGTTAATTTCTATTGGCGACTTGAACAGAGGAACCTTGGAAACCAGCCTCTAGGCAGGTCTGTGAGGGAAGACCAATTTCTAGCTTGAGTGGGAATTTCTGAGGTGGGAAGACCCACTCTCAATGTGGGTGGTACTATTCCACAGGTTAGGATTTTGGACTATGTAAAAGAGAAAGCTAAGCACCAGCATTCAACCCTCTATGCGTCCTAATGTGATGTCCAGTGTGGTCAGCTGTCTCACACCTGCCAACCCCGACTTCATTACGATGGACCGTCCTCTCAACGTGTGAGCCAAACCGTGCTCCTTCCTCTAAGTTGCTTTTGTCGGGTATTTTGTAATTGCGACGAGAAATGTAACTAAATACAAGGTCCCTCACTCTCTAGCCATTGATTCTAGAAAGGATCAATCAGTTATTCAATTACAGGAATGCACCATTAATGACTTGGCTCAGATGGGAGTCCGTGGATTCCCACACAGAACCTGTCACCATCTCTGGGGGCCTGGAGGTTCACAGACGAGTGATCAGGAGGTCTCACCAGTGGCGGCATGTGTCCTCGGTGCATCTGTCCGACCATGACCTGCTGCTGTGGTGACGGCATGCTGCCGACATTGAAAGTCTCAGGCCCACTGGAGCCAGAGCGCATGACAGCTGGCAGTGCCACCGAGCCGTGCTCTGCCTTCCCAGTCCGGTTGAACTGCTGTTGCAAGATGGTAGATCTGTGAAAGGGACGGCTGGTCAGTGGGAGGTAGACACTCACACGCAGTACAGTACGGTGGGAAGACATCGAAAATGCGCACTGCCCTAGATGGTGGCGGCCACTTAAAAAACACGCACGGTGGGCATGGAATGAAGAGCGACACGGAGCTGCTCAGTGGAAGCACCTACTGGATGAATCCAGTCAAAACCAGTGTCAGTGCCTCCATTGGTAGTGCCCTGGTATTATACAATTCATTTGCTCTTAGGACAAAACAAGTGACAGTCCTATAACAATGGCATGCTGAGGGAAGGTTAGGATATGCTGCCTGTCACTTGTTCAATCATACAATCAACAGGTTTCCATTCTAGGCGGTGATAGATCTATCCTTAGCTTGATGGGGAAAATGTGCAAATAAATCTAAGGAAATCCTCTCACAAGTTCAAGTCCACTGACCACAGAGGGCATCTGTCACTTCTGGAGGCTTGAGAGACTTATATCTTTTCCAAAAGATTCCAACCAGAGATTAGGAGTCACACGCACGCACGCACGCACGCGCGCACACACACACACACACACACACAAACAGAGAGAGAGAGAGAGAGAGAGAGAGAGAGAGAGAGAGAGAGAGAGAGAGAGAGAGAAAGGGGGAGGAGGAAGAGAGAGATCTTAAGATTTTTTAGAATGAGTGGCAGGTGCAAAGCCCTTCACACATGTGGAAGTAAGGAGCTAGACAGAGGGCAGTTCTTCTTCAGGATCCTAGTGGAGAAGCCACAAGGAAGGTCTGGGGAATGGAGGTGCTCCTGGAGAGGTGAAGAAGGAAGGGGAATTTTACACCAAGAGGCAGGCTCAATCTTAGACCACCCCTGTTAACCAAGTTAGCATCTCAATCAACAGACATCTGTAGAGAGTCAAAAATGTGAATCGAGGTGGGTGGTGGTTTATGAAGGGTCCTGACAGCTCGGACTGCAGAGAATAATCAGCTGTCCAGGACTCAAACCTACAAAGAACGTGTATATCACCTCAGCCCTTGCTTGGGAGGAGTGTTGTAAAACACTGCCTACTGGAAATGCCATGGCTGCTGCACAAGAACACAGGCCCGCTCGCTGCACAACGGCTGCACAAGAACAAGCCTTTCAGCATTCTTTCGTGGTGTGGATCTTATGAGACTCCACCACCAGCTGAGGAGTCCTTGGGAGCTGATGCTTTCTCAGGGCAGGAGAGTTATTTTTCTTTGGTGCTACAGATAGTCATAAGTTGCCCATGTTCCCAACATCCCTGCTCATGTAAGAATCCCTGATCATACTCAGTAGGTCATTATAAAAAGATCTGAAAGTAAGGGAGACTTGAGAGGAAATTTGGGTTCACAGGGACCAGAAAGGTGGGAGAAGAAAGGAATGTGGGATGAAGATGATCAAAAGAAATAATACATCTGTACCAAACTGTAAAGAATTAATATAAAGCATCCCTTTAAAGGAGTTCAGAGTAGATGACACCAGGGAGAGGAGGTCTGAGGCTGCTTTCTTACACCTCAGCCAACAACCTGGGCCACTCCTCCTGCTCGTCCTGACTTAGGTCCATGATGAGACAGTAACAATAGAGAAGTCTCAGTCCCTAGACGGTGGGGCCTGACACGTACCTCCCATACCTACTGGGCTCGTTTGAGGGATGCACAAGTACTAATGATTCTATCAAACAAACCTCTCACTCTGGTGGGAAGCACGAACTTAAGACTTTCCATGTGGACATTAGTCATCCCAAGGACTTTGGAGACTCCTCCATAGCCTACAGTAGTGTTGACGTATGCTGGGGTCAGTTTAGCTCCAACCTGTGTACTTACTTACAGGGAACCAAGGTCTGAGTGGCCACATCTGCCTTTCTCTTACATAGGAGTTGTGTTGGGATCAAGTGAGAGCAGACTGGACATACAGAATAAAAACAGAGACAAGAGCAGTTCTCACAGGTCTGTTTAGCATAAGGGTGTCTGTAGAGATTTCTCAGCTAGCAGTGCTTACTAGATATGTCTTAATTCTTTTTGTTACATCCATTTTCTCATTTAAAAATGGAGCTAAGAGTTCTGAATCAAAAGATTTTGTTTTATTTTTAATTGTGTGTGTGTGTGTGGGGGGGTGGTGGTGGTATATGCAAGTGCCTGCAAGCCTGAAAGAGGAAGTTAGATCCCCTGGAGATGCAGTTCTTTGAGGTTGTGAGCAGCTCAATGTGCATGCTGGGAACAAACTCTGATCCTCTGTGAGAGCAAGCACTCTTAACAGCCAAACTGTTTCCCCAGCCCCAAGTGTTGCATTTAAAATAACAAGTATTTTTCCAATAGCAAACAAAATATGCCAATGTTTGGTGTGCATTATTTTGTGACTCTGTCATCAAAACCACATGTAACAAGGTGATACTACTGCGATTCCTGGTTTCTACATGGGCTGGTGAAGGTAGAGAATTCAAGGCCAGCACAAATAAACAGACGCCCAGATCTGCTCCGAACATGGTTCCTATGAGTAATTTTTTCCCTTCTTCTTTAAAACCAGTGTTTGTATTATTTTACATGCATGAGCGTTTTGCCTGCACGCGTCAGTGTCTCACTTAATCCGGTGCCCATGGAAGCTAGAAGATGGTGACCGATTCCCTGAAACTGGAGTTATAGGCAGTTGTAAAGTTGCCATGTCCCAACCACGTTAAACCTGTGTCTCCTGGAAGAGCACCTAGTGCTCTTAACCACTAAGCCATCTCTCCAGCTCCAAGAGCACATTCTTAGCCCTGTCTCTTTGCTGCCTCACAGCCTGGGAGAGGAGTGTGGCATGTAATTAGTGCTTTAAGCATACTGACCACACGACCGGCCAGCCTCCAGAATCCCAGAATAGAACCAAACAGAAGCTAAGTGACAGATTTCGAGGTAATAACCTCATCCGTGGAATTTACATCAGAGATGCTGAGCAGGACCCAGGAAAGCTGACTGCTTCCTAAGATGGAGGTGGACACCATGTTCTGCATAGGGTCCCCAGGAAATGCTCAGCACCCACACAGGACAGCTGTATCACATGCTCATCCTGGGCCATAACTGAAGAGCAAGCCTTGACTAACCCATCACCATGTCACCTCAGGAGGAGGCAGATCCCAAGCACCCTGGATACTTACTTTTTTGGGGAAACTGACTCTTCTAACATAGTTGACTCCTCATCCCCTTCCAGCCCAAATCTATCTTTGCTTTGTTTCTGGAGGCAAAACAGACACCACAATAAACAGAAGCACAAAAGCATGATGCTAATAAAGTAGAAATCTGTGACTCAATATGCAAATATACCAAGCTGCGGGTTTATCATTACTTACACAGCAAAAAGCCAGGCACGGAATATGAATTTTGAGTGGATTGTAATAGGAAGCCTTAAAACGTCTGATTTTCTATATGCTACTATGGCATGTGGTGTCACTATGTTAGGTAAGAACAAAAACTCATGAAAACCACAATGCACACGTTTAGTTCACCACCTTGGGTTTCTGGAAAGTAGGGAAATTAAAAACCTATGTAGAGGACAGTTCTGATCAATCAGGATCAATCAGACGGTCCTAGCTTGCTCTATCAATGTGAGGCAACTTGAGGAATTCCCTTGAACAAAGTGTCTTGTGGGTATTCCTGTAGAAGACTGTTGTGATTGTTAACTGACTTAGAAGGACCCAGCCAACTGAGTGGTACCATCTCCTGGGCTTTCTAAGGAGGAGGATGGAGCAGGAGCCTACACTAACCATCAAGCACCTTCCTGCCATGGTTTCTGCTCTCCTTCCTTGGCTGTGAGCTCCCTAGTTGGAGGGAATACTGTATATACAGGGTAACAAGTGGGCCTGACTGACAAGTTCCTACTGGGCTTTCTACCCATATGTCCCTGCAGGATAGTCTGCGAACAGAAGTGGAAGCCAAATGAACCTTCTTCTTCCTTTAGTTGCTTTTGGTCAGTGTGTTTTTATCACAGCGATGGAAATCAAACTAGAACCCAGCCCACTGCTTCTTACCCAGCAGTAACAAACACATATATGTACTGTGGCAAACTCAGACATGCTCAGAGGATTCTGGGTCAGAGATCTCATACACAAAGAACCAATCTGTCACTCAAACATTTCAAATAAAGATTCCATTTAATGTGGTTTTGTCATTGAGCCCTTTACCAAAGTAGCCTTGATTTTCTCCATCTTCTTCAACACCACATACCTTTTTGAGGATGATGTCAATGTATCCTGCAATCAGCTGGGATATTTGCTCCCCCTCTGTGGTTTGTACTGAATAGTAGCTTTCTTGGTATTCCCCAAAATCCTAAAAGAGCACATTAGGAGAAACACAGTTGCTTAGATCTCTCAACGTCCATGAGGCTACACAGAGCAGCTATAAAGCTGGGACACAGCTCCCTTTCCACAGTTCTCCACTCTGAGGAAAAGCAGGACTCTTAAAATGTATTCAATGGTAGATATTTTAAAAAACAACAACAACAACAACAACAAAACAAAAAAAAAACAAAACAAAAAAACTGAAGCTTCCAAGCCTCAGACCTGAAACTCAATCCCTAGAACCCACGGAGTGGAAGAACTGACTTTGACAAGTTGTCTTCTTACCTCCCCAGGACCCCCACAGACATATAAATACATGTCAAAATAAAGAGGGTAGGGCTCTGGAAACTGTAAAGACAGACAGGATTGGAGCCTTAGGACCCCCAAGCAGAGAACTGGAGAGGCCTGAATACCTTGCAGTAGCCATTCCTGAAAAGCCTACTCTTTCCAGAGGACCAGGAGAACTAGACAGGAGACGCAGCCCCACCAGCAGCAGCCCAGACATGCCAGGCAGGGAAAAGGGCCACTGTATTTCAACAGTGAACACAGTAAATTTCTGTATGGTCCCGTCTCTCTAGCATCACAGGCTTGGTGGCTTTGGCTTCTTCCCATCAAGGTCATGAAGCCATAGTGAGAAATATAGAGAAATGCTGTCTGCTATCACAGAGAAATATCATCAGATCCTGAGTGTATCAGGAAGATAAGGTGAAGCAGACAAGATGGCACACACCAAATCCTAGCACTTGTGGGGCAGAGGCAGAGGCAGGCAGAGGCAGGCAGAGGCAGGCAGAGGCAGGCAGTGGCAGGCAGTGGCAGGCAGTGGCAGGCAGAGGCAGGAAGAGGCAGGCAGAGGCAGGCAGAGGCAGGCAGAGGCAGGCAGAGGCA